TTTGTTGTAAATAATTATCGTTCCTGTTTCGTCGGAACTCAGAAGAAGGTAAAAACATCTTGGCAGATGATCTGGGATGAATGTACGTTGCAACATAGAGAGTTTTGCACCAGTGTAGGGTGAGTCACAGGAACACATACAAAGATAGGCAACCATTCACACTAACATTCACACCTAAGGTCAATTTAGAGTTACTGAATGTTGTCAACACACAAAGACTGGGAATCGACCTTTAAAAAATCCCACAAATCGTGGCCTTTGTTCATAGACCTGGATTTTTAAATACAGTCATTTACTAAATATTTTCACAGGCTAAACTAATCTCAACCCCCCTTTTTTTAGATATTTGCTAAATGGGAACATTACCCTTTAAATAAAAATTTCAGACACATTTAAGAACCAGACATGATTCAGTCAGTGACAGTACGAGGCGTTTGGGGAACAATTTTTTGCTGCAGGGAATTTCCATTGACTTGAAAGCGACTTTGAAAAACTCCCACAAGTTTGTTTCTTTTTGATGCAGCCGTAATAAAAAAAAAGTGTTTTTTTTTTTCCCCCCTCCGTCTTGTTTGTCACTCTGGCACTGAAGATGCTCAGTATTAGCTAATGGCTGAGGAAAGAGCAGAAAATTACCTGCTCTGCCGTCCTTGGCGCTCTGTGTTTTAATAATTTCCCACAGAAACAAACAAGGCTGCCAGAGTTCATTGCGGCGCTTAATTACCACTCTCTGGTTACTATTTGATGAAAAGGCAAAGAGAGAATAAATAAAATTACACGTCAACCTCTGCTGAGCTTTAATAAAGAGCTGTCATATTCACGGACGCGGCGACAAAAGGCTCCTCATGGGGGAGTGGATCCTGACAGGAAGCTCCGCGTGATTTATGAAATGGCGTTAATATAATGGCAGCCCTCTTCATCCTGATGAGAGTTTCGCATCGGTGATGGCTCTGTTATGGCCTCCTGGTTATTAGGAGGAGCAAAAAACTCTTTGTTATGGAGGGTCGGTCAGGAGGGAGCAATATTTATGTGGCCGAGGTTGTGCACGTTTCCAGAATCATAATCTAGGCATTCGCTAAAGAGAATATCTGCAGTTCAAACATTTTCAATAGTAAAAGTAGCTCAGTAGCTGATGTGAATGTTGTAGAGTTTGAGTTGAGGTGAAATAAAAATACAATTTATCGCAATTTCCCACGGGGCACAAAAAAAATTTTCTTCACGTCACTATGGGAGTCCCACCCCTCACTTTGAGAACCATGGCCCTAGGAGAAGTTGTTGGAGTTGCAAAAAAAAAAAAAAATTTTGAAACTGCTAACTGCTAACTGTATTATTTTAGTTTTGTCTGACCTGATGACCTCGCTTTTAAATTTGAATGGTTTTCCCGGGTTTTTGTTGGGCTGACATTAGGGGGTGCTGTCCTGCAATCTGCAACATTATGAATTATTTTTTTTGTTTTTTTAAATTTTCTGCCGAATCTCATGAGTTTCCCGTGCCGTTTCAAGGCTGCAAAAAACGTGGCTGTTCTGTAGACATAATGTTTCCTGCCATGTTGCTATCGACTGCATTGTTATCGTCGATGCTAAGTGCTTAAAAGTCAGGTGGAAAATTAAGTTAAAAACCTTTTTCCGATCGTTCGAATCTGTAACCTACGAGGTCAGGGACGCTGCGCTAATTGAACCTCGTATGGAATGTGCAGCTGCTTCCTTATCCCAGGGTCAGATCGTATGTCTTCCCTTGTCTTGTCAAGGTCACATTGTTTACAGGCCGATCTGATCTGAGGTCTGCGATAGCACTGCCTCTAGGCTGTAGCCGCTCAGATAAGACGGGGAGCAGGTAGAGTGGAGAGGAGACGGCAGAGGGATTTGGCTGCTGCTCCACTGATTCTGCTGTGTGTGCTGTCAGGTTTCACAGCCAGGCTCACAGATCACTGAGCAGTGTATCTGCTACATCAGGGTCCACGGTGGGCTACTGCACTGTACCATATACGTACGCCTTTGGACCGACCGGGTCAGTGTGTTCAAAGTGTGGCCTACGGACCGAATGTGGGCAAAAACGAGGGCCGCTATTACACTGGGACGTTAACATACTCTGACTTTTTAACTTTTTAATATTTTACAGTAGCTATCCCTATGTAATCTTTTAGCTAATATTTGCAAACATATGCTATATATATGTGTTTTACCTTTAGGTTATTTTCATTTAATCAATACATATTTGGCTTTTTAAAGTCTATATTGGCTGACATTTAGCAACTTCCTTTTAGAGTTGTAACACTTTTATGTATACACTTAACATATACAATGTGGCTAAATATTTGGCTAATGGTAAGGGTCTCAATTTTGTAAAAGAATTCTTTGTTTCTATGCCTAATTTTAAGCAGCTTCTTGGCTAAAGTTTTTTTTTTTAACCTCCATTTTCACTTAGTTATTTTATCTCAAATGAATGTGTTATTTATTTTGATTACACCACTGATGTGTTGGAATGTGACGCCACTTCATTATAACCTTCAGTATCTCAGGAGGAGCAGTTGGCCCGTTATGGACTCTGGCTGCCCTTGACAGGAAAAGTTTGGACGCCTCTGGTTTTGGATGAACTCAACATTTTCTGTCTGTGGGATTTGGACGAGCACTACCAGTTCTGAGAGTGTGAGAGCCAGCGCCCCTCCAATAACTGTTCCAACCCATCTCGTTCGTTCTGTTAATTAGCCCTTGTGGTGCTGGAGTGCAGCATATTGTTGAGACATAATTAATCAAGGCAGCTTGTAATTATGCCTGGTTCGGAACGCGAGCACGGTCGGGAGGCTGCTTGAGTTGCAGCAGCGTTCGGCTCGAGGTAAACATCCTATTAACCACGTCAATCCCTCAGTCCGCGCCAAGCACGCGCAGCGTCATTAAGGTGGGAAAGAAAAGTGCTGTTATTCATATTATGAAAAATCTGCCTTATACAAAAGGAGCAGCGCTTGATTAGGTTTACGGTTCCGAGGTGGTCCGGTGTAATGGAAGACTGCACAGAGAGGAGCGGGAGAGATTTCCTTATGAGCAGTAAAAGCACTTGTTCAGCACTTAGTAAATTGTGCATAAAAAATGGGCGTGTGTGATTTTCTTATATATCTGCATACGATGGGCACAGGAGCATCAGTGCAACTCACTTTAGAAGACAATGATAAGGTTAGAGAAGAACAGGGAGTATGGGCCATAAAAAAAAAAAGACTCTGCTGCAGTAAATACACAATATATGGACATATATGTTTCCATAGACGTATACGACTTTCAGAAGTCGTATAAGAGAACATTACAAACGTTAATGCCACAGTTATACACAAAGCCACAAGAGGTTTAGAAAATGGTTGTTTTCGAGAAAATTGGTTTTCAAACTAAAAGTACCAATAGTTTTTCTTTTTGGGCTCCCTCTGGTGGTACTGAATTGAACCATAGCGATTAGGAAATGAGGAAAAAGGAACAAATAAATTAAAAATTACAAACGACCATTACAAAAAAAATTCTAATTAAATTAATTTGCAAAAGTGCCATTTGGGGCACACACCTTCCTCTTTGGGA